TCAAATGGAAATCTAACCTTAGACATATGCTGGCTCATGCTTTCTTCCTGGCACCCACTTTTGTAATTAGCATGACTTTCATTATTCAGCACGTGACTCTTTATTTTTCCATTACTGATAGGAATTCTTCCATCATTTTGTATTGCTTGAGCAACTCTTTTTGCAGCTTCTTGTAAAGCATCCATTGCACAATCATAAGTTTCAGCAGATCGTGCACCTTCATCAACAAATTTAAGGGCCTCATGTCGGAGGGTGTTATATCTAACTGTATGAGATTCCAAATAGTAAGTAAATACATCACAAGAATGTTCTTCTAATATTACATTGCTCTTCGCATTTCTTGTCCAACGTTTCAATATATAATGAGATGGGAGAGTAAGCACATTGGTTACTCTAAAGACTGCCAAAACATGTCTGCAAAGAAGGCCTGAAAATTCAAACATTTGGCAACTACAAGTCACTTTCATTTCCAAAACATTGAATTTAACATAATATCCTTTATGGTCCTCTCCAAATTTAGCTACATGATATGTAATGGCCTCCCCATCATCATCAGCTTTGGATGCCATGAATGTTAGTGTCCCAACTAACTCCTCCTGGAATCTCATGAAAATTTTTCTTGTGTAAAGCTCAGATGCTTGCTTCTCCATTGGAGATGGGGTCCTCAACACTGGCAAAGTATTCATTGTGTCATAATCTGCTCTCACTTCCTTCTCATTGCGACTTTCAAGTGCTTTCTCATACAGCTTAAAGAACTGATTTAAATTGGTTGAAGCATTTATATACCCATCAAAGTAAGAGTTCATGCTATCACTTCGCTGAGTAATGGACATTTCTGCAAAGAATGTGTCTCGCAAATATACAGGTACCCACTGCCGGCAAGCAGAATATATTGCTTGAAGCCATTCATGGTCCCTGAGATCATATTTATCTACAAGTGTTGACCAGCAAGACTCAAATTCCTCAATCGACTCAGTTAAGTTAACACATTTGTGAAATTCAGCTTCGAAATTTGGATATTTAAGGAAAATATGAGATAACTTCTCTTGGCATTTTTTAAAGATGTGCCACTTGCAGAAACGGTGGCGGGTTTCAGGGAAGACTTGGATTATGGCTGACCGAATTACAGAATCATGATCAGTTGTTATTGACACTGGCGGCCTTCCAGACATGGCCATAAGCCATGTCTTGAAAAGCCACACAAATGATGCTTCAGATTCATTAATTAAGAAAGCACAACCAAAGAGAACAGGTTGCCCATGATGGTTTACACCAGTAAAGGGAGCAAATGGTAACCGATACCTATTAGACCGGTATGTAGTGTCAAAAGTTACAGTATCACCAAAAAATGTATAATTCATCCTTGCCTTGGGATCAGCCCAGAAAACATTGTTTATGGACTGATCCTCATCCCCTTGCACAGCATAGAAGAAATTAGGGTTTTCAGCTTGCATTTGTCTTAAATAATCGAGAACAAGTTGAATGTCCCCTTCTAAACTTCTCTGCCTATTATTCCTCATGTAATTCCTACAGTCCACCTCTGTAAACCCGACTTTGCTGATCCCACCATACTCTTTAATTAGCGCAGACATAATTCTACGAGGACCCATCCCAGCAGCCTGTAAAGTATCAATCAGCGTCTTGGCAGCTCCAGATATTTGCCTGTGAGAGCGAAGGCAGTGCACCTGGTCTGGCGGAACCAGTTCGTGATTATGTTCTCTAACAAACCCAGACACGATCCACTTGCCAGAGTCTTGCATTTTGACAGACAAAGACGCTTTACATCCCACTCTAGTAATTGTTCGTGGGCGCTTGATCTCTCTATCCTTGGTGCGTTTCTCATTCAAGTTGCGGAAACCCTCCTTTGCGCAAACAAATTGCCTCTGTATAATAGCTCCATCGCGCCTTGAACGACGGGATGAGCTGACACGGGTACTAAATCCAACACGACGGGCATAGGAATTGTAGAAGGCCTTGGCAGCCTCTTCAGACTCGAATTCCATGCCCTCGTAAGGTTCAAGATCCAAAAGGTCCCCCTCAGGAAGATATATTTCACCGCCTCCGGGGGCTACAGCACCAACACCACTGCTATCAGCCAATTCCTCCTCATCAATTGGGTGTTCAATGTCCCCTCCGTGGTCGTCGTCATATTCTCCCTCGCCCCCTCCAAGCCCAATATCAAATTCTAGCACCTCGTTATCCATCCCAAATACTAGTTGTACAATCAAGATAGGTAATATGTGGAATTCATATAGAAGTAGAACGAACGAAAGCAGAGACTACAAATTTAGCATAGCAATGAGTTATGGAAAAGAACTGACCGTCGTGTGACAGTAAGAAGAGAGCCCTTGAAGAATATGCTAACCAGAAATTATACAATGACAACTCCTCGAACCAAACTGCAGAGTGCAGAATATACAACTGCCAATTATTCTCTCAACATAAACTTATTGCTCTCGTCTTCCAAACAAAAAGATATTTAACCAAAAGTTGTTTTTTGACACATTGAAATATTGATAAAAACGATTTTTTTTAATAGATAATTTTGGGTGAAAGTCAAGTACAATTATTCTCTTGGAATTTTAAGCTTTATTTAAGAGATAGATCCTCGGATCAAATTTGACAATAGCAAAATTTAAATGTTAAGAAAATAAAATATATTGAAACTAAATAATGTTAGTTATAGTACAATTATAATATACTTTAATGTATTATTTAATAAAAACAAGTTTTAGTTACACATTTTATCTCCAAAATTTTTAATTTCACGAATTTCGCTTTCTAGATTTATTTTCACAAGTTTTACTCAATAATTTAAAAAATAATGAATTTTGTCCCAACATATTAAATATTTATTCTATATAGCTTAAATTTATAATAAATTATGTATACAAATAAATGATGTTTTAAAATATATAAATTATATTTAAAATTTGTACAAATAAATTTTAAAATATATAATTTATAATTTAAATTTATGATAAATAATTTATATTATTGTATAAGATTAATTTTATTTATTGATAATTTATTTTAAAATATTAAAACTTAATTCATAAATAATTATAATAAATAAAAATTATTTTGAAAAAAAATTCCTAAAATGTTTTAGTACAAAATAGCAATTCGTGTTTTATATGTAAGAGTTAATATTTTCTGAGTCAAAGAAAGCTCACTAGATTTCATTTATAATAATAATAAAAATAAAAATATAAGTGAGCAAGAAATTGGTAGAGACTAGATGTAATTCAAGTGATTTGTTGTTGATCTAATATAAAACTATGTATTACAATTTTTGTCTTTTTATTAATTTTTGTGTTTCACTAGTTTTAACTTTGAACTTGGTTTTTTTAATTTATTTTGAGATTCAATCCTTTCTTAAAAAAAACATCTAAGTTTTGATGTTTGAGACACTTTATTAAATTATATGTTCAACCTTGAAAGTTTCAATTAAAGCTAAATTGATTTGATCTTGAAAAAGTATCTTTATAATTTGTTGTATGAAGAAATTAGTTTTAGTTTCATGATCACAGTCTTAAAATAATAGTTAAGTAAACAATAATATTATTCAATAGTTTACTGTTTAATCTTTTATTGATCCATAAGAATTATAATGATATGAATAATGTTTTTATCTAAATACATACTACATTAATCTTTCATCATTTAGTCGATCCTAGTAGTTGGTCATTATTTAGTCTAAAGGTTTAATTATGTTTTTAATTCATCGAGTATTACAATCATGTGATTTTGATTTCTAAGATTTTAATTAAGCAATTTTAGTTCCTCATTTGTGCGATTTTAGTTCTATAAATTTTAATTGAAAAATTTTAATCTTTTAAGTTTCACAATTATATGATTTTAGTCTTAAAAGTATTGTAACTATACATTTTTTGATTTATTTAAATTACATATACTATAATTTTTAATTTTTGCATTAAATTATATATATATATATATTATTATTACTAAAATTGTATAATTGCGATACTAAAATAAAAATATATTTAAACTTAATCTAAAAGACTTTTTAAATTAGTTAAATATTATGGTTTTAATTTTTTCTATCTCCGCTCTTTTTTAAGGGTCGATTTTTGAAGAAAAAAAAAATTGATACTTTCTATTTCATTTCAAAAGTTGATGACTATTAACTATTCTTTATTATTAATTATTTTACTCCTTTATCATGAAATTAAATAGCGAGAAATGAAGAATAAGTGTGTTTGGAAAAAAAAAATGTTTTCCCACTTTTCAACTGTTTTTATAGGAAAAAAAGTTGTTTGTGAAAAAAGCTAGTTGTTTGGAAAACTAACTAAAATTTGTATAAAAAAAAAAATTAAATAAGTTTTTTTATGAAGCTAAAAATTTGAAGTTTGTTTATTTTTCAAGAATTTTTTTCCTTTTAAGTTTATTTACTATATAATTTTTTTTGTTTACAAATAATATTATACATCTTAAAATTATTTATTAACAAACTTATCCAAACAAAATTTGATTTTGATAATAATCGATTATAATAAGATCCATTATTTATATGATCAATTATTAAAATATTCGTTTTCCCAAACACACCCTAAATGATAGAAAAATTAATCAAATAAGGTAACGAAAAAAGAATATTAATTATATGTCTTAATTTATATTTCCCAACCTTAAACAACACTTTAAAAATGAACAAATGTACTTGTCTTAAAAATTCTTTGACATCTCATTTAGTAAATATGCCTAAAAGTCAGGCCAAGCCGTACGCTGCCAGCGGCTACCGAAATTATTCTCCCTGCCATCTATATATTGTTCTTCGATATTCTGCTTCAAATAAATTTCTCATTTACATTAATGACACATACAATAACCAAAAAGAAAAAGAAAAAAGAGTAACACTACATAACAATGGTGAGTAAATCACGATATGACCATGTAATGGCTCGTTCTTAAGCTTACAATGAAAATGCTGATTGATATTCAGCAACGTCCAAAAACAAAGTATGCCAACACTAAACTCAATCCATTATAATTTGGCCAACAGATGAACGGAACATGTTACTCAGGGCATGTTGAACTTCTCCAGAGGTGTGTTCACTCCTCACAAGATCTACCAGTAAGTGAAAGAACCGTGGAATATACCTCCTGAATGAATCCTTTTTCAGACCAGCCAACCCTTGCAATGCTGAGATGACTAAAGATGTCCTGGCAGCTATCTCTTCCTTCCTTGCTGAGCTCAGAGGGAGTTTTCGATTTGGTGCTGGCAGGGTAGCTGAATTGTGAAAAGTGGAAACTGAACCAGCACAATTTAGGTATATGTCCAATACTTTTTCACATGCATCAACTAACTCTTGTTCTAGGCTTATCTCATCATGCACAAAATGACCGTGGATATGTAAATTTTGTAAAAAGTTGAGGTGATTCTGGAAGGACTCATTTTCAAAATGAACCATGGGAGGGCCAGATATTTCAAGGATGGAGCAAGCTTTCTGCAACTTCTTCAGTAGGATTGACTCTCTGTTCATATCGCGAGCATGTAAAGCAATAGATGAATATAATTCAATGAGGACTTTGATGCTAGCTGCAGATAAGGATTGCTGGTGCTTTTTGTACAGATCAGTTGCAACCTGCAAATAGAACACAAATATATCATCAAGATGAACTCATTCAAGGGTGAAACATATATCAAGCTGCACTACATATATCTTTAAATCTGTTTTTCATGAACAACTAAGGAGGAAAAAAATCATTGAATTACGTTTTAAACTCAGTGGATCCATATAGATTCAATACTAGGAAATTTAGTGATTATGTTTCAAGTGTTAACTAATGCACATACAAAAAGAGCTAGAAGTAAACCTGAACTATAAGTAGCTGCATAGCAATATGGTTCTTCATTCTCGACACAACATATGTGGCGGTTTGCAGATTGTCGTCATCAAATTCATCATTTGTCAAGTCATGATCAGAAGAACTTTCCAAGTCAGCAGAAGGCTGTGAAACGTGAGGCACCTCAATATTATTCATGGTTCTCAAGACCTTCATGAATCCTGGCACAGTTGACATAGCTGCATCTTTCAAACACAGAAAGACCTCTTTCCATTCTTCTTCTGAAAGCCTGTTACCAAGGTCCCCTGTGAGACGCACTAATCCAGCAACTCCAGTACTAGCTGGACCTTGAACAGGACTTCGAATGAACTCTGTCAATACTGACACCACTCCTGGTAGCTGAGACCTCACCACATCAAAGAAGGTGACAAATAAATCTATTAAACATTCCGCTGCTACTGAATAAGTCTCAGAATCCCATGTGCTTCCTTCATTATGCACAGATACTGAAGGTGAACAATGGGCCTCTTGTAGATTCATCTCTCTCTTTCCAGATACCAAGTTATATACAGGGAAAATAACAGAACAGAAAATGCTATTCCAAAATGTGTGAGAGAATAGATGACCATGATCCTTCAGAATGTTAAAAAGCACCTCCAAAGAACTCTTCCTGATGGCTGATCTTGGATCAGACGTTAGTTTTGATAACCCTGCAAAAAAAAAAAATCAAAATATTAACTTAAAGCAGAAAAAACAGGCAACATTTATGAAAAAAATGGCCTGAAATATCCTTATGCAGATTTAGGCTATCTCACTGGTGCACAAAGTGTGGTTAAATCACTATCATGTTTTCTTTTTTAGACACTAACTAGGAGCTGAAGATACAATTATTTGCTACATAGAACAAGAGAAGTGCAAGCAATTCTCTTGACAAAATGCAACAATCATCGCTCAAGATTTTATAGCAAAAACTTAATACAAAGCTTAACATGCTGTATATGAAGGGCAGCGTCAATAGGAATGTTAGCAATAGACATTTGAGATTTATATAAAATCAATCAATCAAACAGAGTACATACATTTATTGGACAAGAATAAGCTTTTTGGTCCACCATGATGGTGGTGGCTTGGCCACCGTACCAAATTTCTTAGGGCATAGCATCTGAAGGCATAGTACCTGATAGCAGAGGATTCCAAAAGGAAACATGATCATCGTTATCAGTATGGTCTTGTAAATCTGAAATACCATTTGCTACAACAACTGATGGACCATCAACATTGCTCTTCTTATTGCAAACAAGTCCTCCATCAGCAAGTCTGACTGCACAGAACCGAAGAAATGCAATTGCATTGAGGCTAACATCACTGTTGAATCGGCTATTTGTAAATGTCAAGAGGCACCGGACACAATCGGTGAAGGTCATTGTCTCTGTCTCAGTAATATAAGGAAAAAATTCACGCACTATTTTTTCCATGGTCTCGAATGCTAATAATACAATGTTTTTCCGTTCATCAGCTGCAGCAGCTGTAAAAACCTGAGAGCCAAAAACACTGCATGATAAGTCAAGATTGTTCCATTGTCTCAATTCTCAGATGCTAACAATTACATGTGCATTTCTTTCTATGGAAGGCAATGGGGACAATTATGAAGCCCATATCTGAACATGGTGTAAGAGGCGAACTTGCTAAATGTCATTGTATTAACAATTTGCTGTTATACTAAACTTGTGTATTACATTTAGATTGTTGAAACCCTCAATTATTTGACTAGATATGCATCCTCAATGTCCCTTTTATTTTCTTTTTAATAATTAATATTCATACCTGAAAGATCGTTTGGACTATCTAAATTCCCAACAAAAAATAAAATGAAATGTTCCAATGACAATGAATTTAAAATAATAATAAAAGCAATTATAAGCATTCTTTATATTTAATGTGTGTATGCAAGTAATCAAATGTATATTTTTCTTGAAAAGAACAGAAACGATCACAAATGTGCCTTCTCAATATGTTTCACTTTTGTAAATAAACAAAAACATTGAGCAATATTTGACAATTTCAAAATTGTGTTTTGGTTGATCCCTAAAAACATTGAGCAATATTTGACAATTTCAAAATTGTTTTTTGGTTGATCCCTATATAGTTTCATGAACTTTGCCTTTTAGTTTCTATGATTGAAAGCCTTTCATTTTAGTCCATATACATATCATTTTTGTTTTCTTTTAGTCTCTAATTTCATAAATTCTACCTTTTAGTCCGTATAACAATAGAGGACAGAGACTAAAAGAAAACAAAAATGATATGTATAAAAACTAAAATGAAATGTTTTTGAGAAAGGTAATTAAGCATTTTTTATTTTGCAAAAATAGTTTGAAACCATGTCCATAGTGGGGGGAAGAATCAAGACAACTTCAACATTACCATAAAAACACTTTTCCAGCCAGATTTCACATTACTGACACGGCTAAGGACCATCTGTGAAATACAACGAACTATTAATTCTCTAATTTCTGTGGTGTTGCTTTTCTGCATAACAATCACAAAAGGTCTCAGAAATTCATTTTGAAAATTATAATTAGCCAGCTCCTCACGCTCCAAAAATTTCATTGCAAGTTGTCGCAGAGAGTCCATTGCAAAGATTGCAACTGATAAGTTCTCTGATAATCCAACTGACACAAAGAAATCTGAGAGAACATTCCATATGCGAGACCATACTAATCTGATGCGGTTCATATTATAATGCCTGCAAATGCAACCATGTTTTAGTCATGACTTCTAAAGTAGATTCAATGATCATCAGAATTTTAATCATAAATGTGCAAGAAACGAGATTAATAACTAAGATTCACCAATTACAACATACAAAGAACATGACTGGGAGAAAATCACAACCCCTTTCTTAAGGTCTAATAAAATCAACAAAGGGTCCCCTTTCAGGCAAGTAACATTTCCCTCGTTCTAAGATATAATAATTAACATAAATATGTATGAGAGTTAGAGATATAAAGCCATTCTTGAACCACCATGTAATAGTTAGAGATATAAATATGTTAGGAAATCTTTAGAAAGTGGATTTTAACCTTATGAAACTGGCTTATAAGATGAGCATTACTCACTTCCACTTATATACATTATTATAACTTCATCATTATTCAATATGAGATCTCCAACACATCTGTCTCATGCCAAAGATTAAACATCTCAGACGTGAAATTTGCATAATTAGACATTGAGGCTCAATAACTGATGACATGATAGACCCAACAACAATAAATAATCACTAGGATAGTCAATTAGAGATAAGGGCAACAAAATGTATATAAGTAAGGAACAATCCTCATCTTACACGTCAGTCTTATAACCTAGTCCCCAGTTCCATTACCTCCTAACTGCAAAGCCATTGGCTGCATGTGGGTTTTCTGTGTCAAGGGAAATCCTGACAGCATTATCAATAAATACAAAGCTTATCTGGTTGCAAAGGGGTTTGATCAACAACCAGGGTTTGATTACAATGAAACAGTTTTACCAGTTGTCAAACCTATCATTATGCGTGTTGTTTACTAAACCTGGTTGTTATCAACTGGTCCATTCGATAGATTGATGTCAGAAATGTCTTTCTCAATGTGCATCTTCAGGAGGAGGTGTACATGATTCAACCATTTGGTTTGAATCCTCAAACAAATCCTTGGTTTGTCGTCTTCATAAGGCACTTCATGGGATTTAACGAGCTCTATAAGCTTGGTACGATCGCTCACAAGCACTCTTCTACAGTTTGGGTTCATTTCTAGCCACTGCTATCCTTCTTTATTCATCTTTCATAAAGGGGCAGTCATGTTAAAATTCCTTACGACAAAAGTTGAGCTTCTGTTAAATTTTATACTTGTTTCATCCCTAACAGCCACTTTTCTTGAGATGAATATCATAAAACAATAGATTTTATGTAGCAGGGCAAGGCATTACTTTCTTTCATGTTCAGAATAATAATTCTTATGTATGACCAAACATTCAGAAGCCCAAACATTGGCCTAAGTGCCTAACATTTGACAATTTCAACACCATACTGAATATAAGGAAGTGAAAACTTTGCCGGGGTCATATATTCATATACTAGGATATTTCATGAAGAAGTACATATAAGGAATATAAAACAAATATTCACTTTGCAAGCTTCATATGTAAAAAGTATTACTTGAGAGATATGAATGAATTGCACAAAGAGCACATCAATCTTATTAAGGACAAAGAAACTTACGCAATTTCTACTATTTTAGTGAGGCCAAATACACGGGGATCTGTTGGAGACTGTAACTCTGAGATGGAGACTTTACAAAGTGCTTTTACAAATGCTACTATTGCTTCACCATTCAACCGTTGACTATGAGCAAACACATGGTTCAATTCAAAGTTCCCAATCTGGTCCAGTAGATTCAAGTTTGAAATGAAATTATTTATCTGTTCTGTTGTTAATATTGCAGAAGCATTGACCCCTATACTTGTACTGTCATATGAACTACCACGAACAACAGCCACCATGGCTGGATTCTGGAGTGTTCCTTTCTTAAACGAAGAAAAGCCTAATGTTTTCATTGCTTTCTCCTCCGTTTCAAAATTAGGTGAAGTGAAGAAAGTTGCATCACTTGGGGCACCCTCACCTAACAGTTGTAAATGCTCAATTCGGGAGAGGCAAGTTAATATGTGTTCCCATGCTTCATACAGATGATCTCCATCTTCAATCGCAATTGATATTATTGCCTGTACAAAAATAAGATTTAAAAAGATGACTTATACATGAAATTAAGTGGTTCAATCACATGATAAACACAAAAAATGTACAAATCACATTTTATTTTCATACAAAGGATTAATGAAAGTGCCCCCATTCAGTTCATTACAGCTTTCTTGATAGAAGTACAATTCAGATAGAATGAAGTTGATGAATATATGGAGTGCAAATGTGCATTAAGCAATAGTAATTATAAACGCAAAAGGAGAATACAGATCTGTAAATGAAATTAAGATTCACTTACCTTGACAGCATCGACATTTTTCTGTTTCATATCTCCAGCACAGTGCAGATAAGTAAATTTGGCAACAGAGGTAACAAAAGCATCCCTTTGAGTCTGCATACCCATTACTGCAGTAACATGCACAGCATGTCGAAATCCTTGTAAGCATTGAGAAGTAGCTACCCTGTTATCACTCTGGTCAAGTGTTACACTGAATGCCGCCAGCATAGGTCCCCAACAAACTTCCACCATAAACCTTAGTATAGCCACGTCTGTGACAACATGATACACAGATCTGCAATAACATTATAACATGTGAATAGAATGTCTAAACTACAAAAATGCATTGAAAGATTAACACTGCTCATGTAATTAATGCTTAATTATTCTTTTGGTCCATATAGTTTCATAAACTCTACCTTTTAATCTCTATAATTAAAAGTATTTCATTATAGTCTTTATACATATTGCTTTTGTTTCTTTTCAGTTCATATAATTTCCTTAACTTTAACTTTTAGTAGAAACTAAAAGGTAAAGTTTATAAAACTATATGGATCAAAAGGGTAATTAAACCTTTAATAAAGAAAAATGTACAGGATGTAAGATGCAGACCCAGTGCATTACCATAAATATATAAACAATAGTTGTAGCCTTTTCCCAACAGTTGGGGTCAGCTACATGAATCGAAAGGTAAAATTCTATTATAAATCATATCAATAGACAAACTATTTAATCCAAATCTTTCTGAATGGTTTGCTCTATAACTTATCTTGTTTTTGCTCTACCTCTAATACACTCCATCTGATCTACTCTCCTCGTTGAGACTTCTACATGTCTTCTCTACAGATGCTCAGACCACCTTCGCAAACTTGTCTGTATGTCTTCATAACATTCTCATCTCTGCAACACTGAGCTTTTCTTCTAGCTGGCTTACATTTCCCAGCATTCAGTCTCGCACAACATCACAGGTGTTATAGTTACGTAGTAAAATTTTCCTTTAAGCTTTGAGTGGTACTTCTCTATCACAAATAACAATTGAAGCACCCCTTGATTTCCACCCCACATGAATCCTATGGTTTACATTTCCCTCTATTTTCCCATCCTTCTGTATGCTGACCAAGATAATTGAACAATGGTAACTGACTTTTGGTATCATATAGCCTCCAAATTTCATGTCCATGCTATAATCTGCAAAGGGCATGCATTATGGCATCTGCTTTTGGATATGTTCAAAAAGCTTGAGTGGTATTTCTCTATCACAAATAACACTTGAATCCTATGGTTTACATTTCCCTCTATTTCCACATCATTTTGTATGCTGACCAAGATACTTGAACAATTGAAACTGATTTGTGGTATCATATATTCTCCAAATTTCGCGTCCATGGTCAGTAAACAAATTTCATTTCCCTTCTGCTTAAACAAAAGTCATGCTTCCAAAATTTGTCTCCACCTCTCTTGCTTCCATTTATTTCTCCTCTCAACTCTCCAACAAGGACATATCATCTGCAAAAGGCATGCATTATGGCATCTGCTCTTGGATATGTTCAGTAAGAAATAAGAACATCCAAGACCAAGTTAAAAAGACGGGTTTGAAGCTCATTGCTGGTGCAATACTTTATGGCGCCTCACCTTATGTTACACTCTAATTGTGACACAATCTTACATATCTTTGTTTTCCTGACTACAAGCAAGACAAACTTCATTCATCTCTCAAGCTTTCCGCAATACCTCCTCTTGGTAACCCACCATATGGCTTTTCCAAATTGATGAATTGTCCTTTTAATGAAAGTTTTAAAAACTGGCTCGGACCAACCAGTTGGACCCATTTATCCAAACGGGTGAACTAGCCAATGCGAGCCCATTATTGGATTGGATTGAACCGGTATAAAGCTGGGTCAACCAAATCAATTCTATTTGAGCGAGCAATTCTAAATGCAACACAGCACAACTTCCAAGTCTGATGCACATGTGTCTCTCTACCATAAGTAATCACTTAAGGGAATTGTTCATCTCCATTTAATGAAATCTAAAATTTAGAAATTTGACACCAGAGGGACTCGATCCTAGCATCTCCCATTTAAAGAGTTAAAGACTTACCACCAAGCCAAATGCTATTTTGTGATAACAATTACAAACATATTATACATATACATATCAATTTTATTTTTATTTTATGTTAATTTATGTGGTTCAACTATGTTGGACTAGATGTATTTCTCCATATAAAACAAAAATAAAGGTAGTTTTAGACTAGATGGGACTTGAACCAAATTGAATGTGATTTTTTAATGACTTTAGTGACCACTAAACCAATTTATTCATAATGTTTTTAATTTAAAATTATATATTTAATTATATACTAATTTATGCAGTATAATCAGTCTATAATTTGATTGTTTTGGCAGTATTATATTGATTACAATTTTTTTTGTGAGCTTCTTTAAGATATAGTATGAATTTTATTGAAACTTGTAAGCATGAAATATATATGAGATGAATATTTTTTTTAAAAAAATTAATAGAAACCAGATCATACAATTCAATTAGTGGCCCACCAATTCGACCAATGACACGATATCCTAACCAGTTTAATGATTGGTTCAGTTTTTAAAACATTGATTTTAATTCCTCCAATGTCTATCCATCAATCTTTGTAGCAAGTATATTGCTTCTGTGTTTAACCTCCCAGACATAAACCCAAATTCATTTTCTGTAATGACAGCTTAATTACCCTGTCTGTAGCTTCATAAAATGGCTGATGAGCATAATATTTCTATAATTAGCCCAGTTTTGTAAATCACCCTTGTTCTCAAACTCATACACAGGGAGTGAGGTACTTTTCTACTCATGTAGTATCATCATTGATCTCATAATCTTGTTAAACAGCTCCATGACCCATTTTATGCCTTTCTCTCCTATACCCTTTCATACCTCATGAAATATAATTTGGTCCACATGCTTCTAAACCCTCTCTCTATAAATACTTCTTTAATTTCTTTTACCCCCCGTTGATCCTTGAAACCCTATGTTGACCATTTCTATTTACTTTCCTCTTGAATAGTACATCCATAACCAAGATCTTATGTTGGGTGGTCAAGCTTTCTCAAGGGATGACTTTGAAGTCCATGCAAAAGTTTGTATATGATTTTCCTTATAAGAAAGAAAACAATTTGTAAGCATGTCGGTTTACTTTTGTACATGATTAGATGTTCTTCCCATTACCTAAAACAAGTGCTAGCTATAGTAAAATTGAAAGGTGAAGCAAAATCTAGAAATGTTTTACCCTCTACCATACTCTAGACACTCCTTTCATGTGAACAACTAGATCAACTCCTAGGAAAATCTTTACTCATTACCGTAATCCTTTTACTAAACCTTCTAAATCCTCTAAAAAATGTGTTGGGTATAAAAATCCATTGAAAGATATCATCAGGTGGCACAGCCAAATCAAAACCTATTTAAATCAAAGAATTAATGCATTGTGAAAAAGAAAGAGCTTAGCAGGTCTAGTTTTGCAACACTTCCACAAAAAAAATTAATAATAATAAAAATAAAAATTCAAACATTGAGCAATGTCTTATCTTACTCTGATTTTCGTGAATTTGATTTAAATTGCTCCTGAATGTGCCGAATGAGAAGTCCATTTGCACCCACTGCTTTTTCCTCACTCTGCTTCCAGTTCACAAGATTGAGTATACCATCCAATCCCAGCAATCTATTGAAGCTATTTGCTTGTTTATTCTGAGGCGCAGAAGAATCAGCATTCATTTTAATTTCATTTTTAACAATTTGGTCATAAAGTGCCCCTAGATATTCCTCTGGCAAATCCTTTCCATCATCAATTCCTCGGTTGTTTCGAACAAAATCAGCCTTTGTCATCTGGAAAACCATTAACACAATATACACCACAAAATTCAGGTCAAACCTATATTCAGCATTATAGGATCACAAACAAGATATCCTGAATTTACGATCTCAATTTTGTAAAGCAATAGAAGAATATAAGAATTATAAACAATGAAATGATATCCAATTAATTTACAAAATGATATTATATCTGATAGCTCCTCTTGTTCACTGAGTTTCCCTGACACAAAGCTATAATTTACCATAACTAACATCACCTAAATAAGATAAAAGAAATGGATAGAGAAAATAATTGATATTTTCTGACCTGTATTCAGAATAAATATCTAAAAATCACATTCCCTTGTTAGTATAATTTTCTTTCATTAAAATTAACATATTCAAATTCCATAAGGAAAATAGGATGTACCAACGACTAAAATTCATTTTAGCCTAATAGAAACAAAACCACACCCAGATTAGAAACCAAGTAATATCACTACTCTGATACTCTTAACTGCTGAGCCTAAGAAATAATATAAAAGATTCAGCAAGGTCAAACCTTATCTTTCACCATATTATTATGAGCATCTGTATTAAGCATTATGACAGAGTAAGCAAGAACGTAGGCAGTATCTGCACTGCTAAAAGAACTAGGGTTGCATTTACAATAGCGCTCAGCAAACTTCTCCATGATGCGATCAATTTTTTGTGCCTCACCAGGCAACCTGAAGCCCTGAAGAAAAAATCGAATAGCTTCACCAAAATCCATCCCTTTGAAGTTAAAGGAATCTACATAAGCATGCATAACTTTAAGAGGAAACTCCTCCCTTTCTCCCAAATAGTCACCGATCTTGGTTTCATCAAGGCCAGCAGTATTCTTCAGGAACAGTGCCACTTGTTCTGGAGAACTACCAATTTTTTTGTTGCTTATCAAAAATTCAATACCCTTGGAAGTTTTTCGATTAAAAAGTGATATGCCTTTCTGCAATTGACCCAGAAAAAAGCATCAGCACATAATATGAAAATTTGCAGCTCAGGAAGACAAACTTATGTATAAATGGAATTCACGGGAGCAGAGGGAGAGATGGAAAAGAGAATTGTACAGACACAATACAGGTTTGTATATAGGTAAAATCACCCAATGCTAAGCTAGTATAAGAGGATAGTTTAGCATCATGATGATATAACAAACTTGTCATTCTCTGAGCTAAGTAATACATACATGAAGTTCGATTTTATATGCTCGACGTTGCTCTAACGTGGCAGCATCTGAAAATTCAGAATTTACGTCAGGATGCAGCTCATGATCAGAAGCATTTCCTTCTTCTCCATTTAGTATTAGATGACTCTCTGCTGCACTACTGCTTTCAGGGGTCTTTGCTAGATCTAAATCTCCTATTGTTATCTGCTGGTCCATCCATGATCCCATTGACTTAATAATGCTGACCAAGCACTTCACAGATTCATGTCGGAAAGTAATATCCTGTGCTGGAGACAAAGCTGTGGTTGACCCTGTAGGTGGTCCCAAAGCAGTTTTCAGAAGGCCATTTACAATCCTGCAAATATCTGATGGAATTATAAGAGTTTAAATACTAAAAGAAGATGCAAAACCAAACTAACATAAGTAAATAAAAAATCTGTCTACTAGGTTCATACTGCAGCAGACCTTGAATAAGCTTTAGCCTTTGGAAGCATACAGTGCTCCAAATACACCGTATAAGCAAACTTCTCATTAAACAAGCAGGGAAATGGGTGTGACCCTAAAGCTCAATGTATTGCCTTCAACATGACATTCTACTCCAAATTACTAAACCTTTTATCAGAAGTTGTTACAAACTAACAATTCCAATAGTTTAAGTTGTTATGGTGAAGGCACATGAATAGTTATATATTACATCTCTAAGACACTACCTAACAGAAGAGCCCTTTGAGCTTGAAGTGAGGATATTTCACAGGTCCATCTTCCTTATGCTAAAATTCAACTTTTTTCATTACAAGAATGGGAGCTGAAAGGATCAAACTCTAGACCATTTGTTCATAGAAGCTATAATATCATGTCATGAGACAAAAAATCCCAAAGCTTAAGTTGTTAGGTGAAGACACAAAAATTGTTTTATATTACATTTCTACAACAGCAACAACAAAAGTCTTTTTCCCACTGTGATTGGCTAATGTATCACACGACATCACTTTTTCATAAATATTCACATGAGACCCCTCTTAACTTTTCTCGTTGTCTGTCTTGGTTTCCCTCTCCCAAGTTTTCCCAGGACTAAAAGTCATGCAATTTAATCTCCTCGTTGGTGCTTCTAGAGAGGCCTTCTTTGTATGTGTCCAAATCACCTTAACCAAATTTTTGTTATCTTTTTCTCATTCGGTGCAACATCAATATCTTCTGGCATACAGTCATTTTGCATCCTATCCTTTCTTGTGTACCCACTCATCCATCATAACATCTCATTTCTGCTACTCTATTTTTTTTTTCCTCATGTTGTCCCCTTAAAACCCAACATCTACAACTATAGGATCTAGTTAAACATATAGTTGTATAATAAAATTTGCTTTTGAGCTTGTGAGGTACTTTGCAATCTCAAATAACCTCTAATGCCTTTTTCCATTTTGGCCATCCTACTCGTATCTTGTGTGACTTTTTCACTAATTTACCCATCATTTTGTATTATTGATCTGAGATATTTTAACTTAGAAACCTATGGTATGACATCTTCTCCCATCTTTACTTGAATTACTTCCAAGTCATACTCCTGTTGTCCATTGCTGAAATTGCAATGCATATTCTTTGTTTGTCTCCTACTTAAGCAGAAACCCTTCGTTTCTAAAGTATGTCTCTAAAGCTTAAATTTAAAGTTAAATATTTCCCTTGATTCTTCAATCATAACTATATCATCCACAAAAGGCATGTAATTAAGGATAATCATTCATATGTCCCTGGTAAGCATATCCAAAACTAGATTAAACAAGTAATGACTTAAGGCAAAGCCTTGATGTAATCCTATCCCTATAGGAAAGTCCTTAGTCTCGCTTCCTGGAGTTATCCCACTAGTAGTTAGTCCCTTATACATGTCTATATAGCCTAGATGTAACACAGGCGAACACCTTAGTTTGTCCTTCATTTAGTCCTCCAAAACCACCATGAGCTCTTAAAAATTATCTTGCTTCATTACCAACATGTTCATTTAGATCACTGCCTAAGACAATCTTTTTCTCTTGTGGAACGCCTTGTACCAACCCTCCAAATCTTCCCAAAACTTTTCTTTCACAAGTGTCTTTGATCCTACTTCTGGTGCATAAGCACTCATGATATTGATGATCTCCTATGCCACCACTAATTTTTAGGATAAGATTTGTTCGCAATTCTTTTTACATCCACCACACTATGTTTCCAATCCTTGTCCACAAAAATACCCACACCATTTTTTCTCTAACTTCATCTGAGTACTAGAGTTTAAATCATGTGGTATCTAGCTCCTTAGCTTTTCTTTCTCCAACCCATTTGGTCTCTGGTAGGCCAATAATGTTAATCCTCCTCCTCTGAATGTCCAGCACCTGCATAGATTTACCTGTCAAAGTACAAATATTTCAAGTTGCAAACCTAATCAAGCACTTCTGAACTAGCTTCTTTACCCACACCCATCTAGGAAAATGAGAAGACTTTTGCTCAATTAACACTACATCTAGGCATTGACGAAGTGACTCTGGCTCATTTGACATTGTACTCTAGCCATAGAGCGTGTTACTTCAAGGTAACTAACATTAGCAAGGTCAATGAGTTTTTTGTTGACTATCAAGGGCCTAGCACAACTCTTCTCCTTTATAGTATATTATTTCTAACATAACTAATTCCAATCTTCCAAATCGTAAATAAAGTATTTCAAAAAACCTAATTTGAAACTGACCACACCCAAAAAATTCACTCCACCCCATCCCCTCAAAATCCAAATTTTCTATCAATAAATGGAAAAATCCAATGAATTTGCATTAACAAGGCTAATCATCATTTTTTGTTTGGTAATTAAGTTTAATTAGTATTTTAGCATATGCATTTCATAGGCTAAATTTTTATTATATATAACTAAAGTTTAAAATAAGTCATATATACAAATCAATAGTATATTTGAATATATCAATTATATTTAAAAATTATATGAATAGATATTTTTAACATATAAATTATATTTTAGATTTAAGATAAATAATTTATATTATCACATGATTATTTTTAATTATGATAATTTATTTTTAAAATATTATTAATTTAATTTATAAATAAAAATTGAAATAAAAAAGAAGTTAAAAAATCCCAAAAAATCTTCTAATCAATAAAAAAAAACCTAAAAACATTCTCATTAAAGAGAAACACTCGTGCAAGATAGCTGATCGTATATAATATATAGGGGTGGATTAAGTTAAATTATCATCTTTGCTTTCAGAAATATTAGCCCATGTCTGTTCTTAAAAACTGACAACTACCAAGGTAAAAGAACAGCAGAATATTACAAAAAGCAAGATACCTTTCGAAAATGTTTGAAGCATCTACATCACAATCATAGTTGACAAAAATGTCGATAATAATCTGAGGATCTTGAGATATTTTGTCCAATAAATTTAGAACAGTCATTTTTTGAAGAAAACTGGGCTGAAGAACATTCTCGAGAACTCGAAGGATAAGCATGGGAAAGAACATGCCAATTTCTTTTTTCAAGCCTGATCTGAATTTTGATAACAAGTTCATGAAAATGGAGCACTGAAGTTGGAAAATGGCCATTGCTGAGAGGGCACTGTTCTTCAATAATGACAAGCACAGATATTGCTTAATGGCATTGAGAAATCTGCACCATGTAGAAGCAAACATAGTTGTCATGACAAATTATTAATGATAATATTGAAGGAAAAATCTTGGGGAAGGAACATTTTTATATGTAATTAAGTCAATGTCATTGATCACAAAGAGATAAGTACATTCTATGAGCTAATATTGTTACACTCCCCCTAAAGCTGGATCATATAAATCATATGCACCAAGATATTACCAAATGTAACAAACCCAAGACCCCCCCCAGAGACTTAACAAACACATCTATTAATTATTTTATGAGAAAATGAGAAAGGCATTTTTTCTGTATGTGCTTGAGTGTTCTTTTTCCACCCAGCAGAATGGACTTATTTATATTCAAGAGTATTACAAAGCTAATTAATGGCAAAACAATTTACAAGGGAACAATTAGGATACCAGTACTTTCTAAGATGCATTGAACCTAGCTATACCAAGTATTTGGGCTATTTGGAAAAATATACATTAAAGAAGCTCTTATCTCCCAAAATATTCCTATTGCAATTGCAAACATATTTGTTCAAATTTTCAAAGCTAGTAGTGCCATAAAACTAGACAAAGTCATCTCTCGCATGAAGTAGAAGTCCACTTTTATGTGTTTTGTTCTTTCATGTAAAATTGTATTGGGGTTAATTTAAAGGTTGTTTGACTGCCAAATATTATTCACATTGCCTTCTTTATTTCTCTAAATCTCAATTCTTCAAACAATTATTTCATCCATATGAGTGCAAAGCTAACAAATTCCATGGCTAAATATTATGCTCCTGGTCTTAACTGAGTAAAACATCGAGCTTGTCACAGTATTACATCATGAAAATGAAGGGGTAGGCAAAATGGGTTTTTATAGCCCATTGTTAGTGTGATCAATTAATTGTTGATACAACCAAAAACCATGCTTGATCTCATCTGCAATTGCTGCCACTACACAAAAACACTCTGTAACAGGCTATCTATTTTTATCAATTATCATGATGCTATGCATCCACATGATAGCATGATTAGATCATACTATCATCAACTATAGTAGCTCCTATTGAGGAAAAAGATGGTAAAAATGCACCTGTCTGGCTATGTGCATATAAGACCAATAAAAGGCCTGCTAATAAGAGTTGAACAGATGGAGGGTAGAAAGGAAAGGCAAAGTAAAAAAAGCAAAACAACTAAATTAAAAAGCAAAGAGACCAACATATTGAGATGGAGAGTAGCTGAAAGAAGTTTCACCAAACATCTTCAATTTAAATTGAACCAACAAAGAGAATATTAGGGAGGAAATAAACATTTTCCAATAATAGGAAATAAAGAGAAATGAAAGTACAAATAATAAAGAAATTATAGGCAAGCTAGCTGGTAAATTTCTGAGAATTATTTCATTATATGTCTAATTAACTTACCACCTCCCTATCCTTTTAATCAGAAAATATACCATATTAGACAACTTAAGTCCTTGAAATAATAAAGCATTTGTTTTAATTGAAAAATGCAATTTTATTCAATAATCAATAGAAAACAAGAAGAATATAACTAGGGTAGGATAAGATGCCTCCTGAATAGAGAGTTCTTGATACAACAAGGAACAAGGAATATTCAAAATCAAAACTGTAGCAGGGCTGAGCTGTTTCTCTTAACATAAGAATCTGCAGTTCTGTTGAAGCAAATATGAGTAAACGAAAACCATGAATATAAGCCCATTCTAACAAGTTCAAGGCCAAAGAGATTTCCTACGAGATAGGACCATTCCGCTCCACCCAATTCCCAAACACACCAAAGGACTACCTAAATGACATCCTCAACCAAATTTTAAGGTCATTGTTTTTATTTACCAAATAAATTCAAAATTTGCTCCAAAGTAGAAGACACATCAAAGCACTCTCGAAGAAGCCCAGAAATATTGTTTCAAAGAAAAAATAATGACCCTACAATTTAAGGGCTACAAATTTTCACCAAATTATTTGCCAAGATCCTGTTAAGAAGGAAACGTGTACACATAAATGACTTTTTGTCTTTTAAATGGGTTCGAGTGGAAGCATCTACAACAAAACATGCCAGGAGATCAAAGTTCAAACTGAACGAAAATTGTGAGTATTTGAAATTCACTAATATCTCTACAAAAGTGAAATTCGCAAATCAAAGAACCCCTGAATAGAATAAAAGTTCATAACGTGTAAATTATGCAAAGTATAGAGATGAAAAATTTCATTCAACAGATAGTGGTTGTAAGGATTAGTATGTATCATACTACTTGCCTCTCATTCATGCGCCACATTGAACCACCAGTATCCATGACTACCTTAAGGAGCTCCAAGGACAGAATCTTCCCTCTCAAGAGGATACGATCGTCAGGGTGCTGTTGAGATGAAAATTTCATTGACAGTTTGCACAAATTTTTAAAAAGAAGAAAACCATCCTCCCTTATTTTACTTCCATCAGCTCCAGTTCCAGCTTCTTCGGTACCTGTTTCATCCGCTGCTTTGGGCAATGGTGGATGGACATTTTTCACTTCCGGAGGAGGTGATGCAGACGATGGTTTGAGAGGAACACCCTCACTTGCCTCCATTATCTCGTTGATAAAATTTTGGGAAATTTGTATGGAATTGCCCTCATTCAAATTCTTATCAGTGAATTCCAAAAGTTCCCCGACAGAAACCCTTTTAACGAAGACATCCATGGAGTCTTCCTCGACTCTGGTGAAAACAATGGTCATGATCTGGGCAAGAACCGCTTTCGCACAGATCTGATTAGTGCCGTTCACCCCACCGAGGTACACATTATAACACGTTCTCACAATTTGAATAAGAGAATCTGCCCGGATCAAAATGCAGGGGGATCTTACAGCTGAGAGCAAGACCCTGAGCACACCCAGCTCAATTACCTCCTCTCCAAGGCCACCCGACTTACAAATAGCATCAATCATATTGAAAACAACGCCGGACTGAGAAGCATTTGAATTATCAGGGCGATTGATCTCCCCGCAGATAAGGCCGAGAGAGAACAATTTAAAGGTGCATTCTAGAGCAGGCTCAACAACCTTAGGGTAGGCAGAGTCGAGCGCAAGAAAGAGAGGTTGAAGGACATAGTCGGCGTCTGAGGAGGAAAGACCTGGAATAGGGTATTGGGTGTCGCCTGGAGACGTTTCGGACTCAGAGAGGGATTCGAGCTTGTCAAGGGTGGATTTGCAGGAGGAGACAAGGTGAGAGTGCTTACGCCATGCGGCGTTCTTGATGATCTTGTCAAGTGATGGACCGACAACTCGGCCGCAGCGGGAAGGACCTCCGAGCGATTGCGATGCGGACATTTTCTTTCAGTGATGAAAAAAACAAGAGAAGAGATTGGATCATAGAATTTGCTCACATTCACTGATGTATGTGAACCAGGAAATGAACTGAAATCTGAATGCGTCCGAGTCCATTCACAGATTCATTCTCCTATAGCGTGCATGCGTGAAGCATAATATAAGCATAACTCCTTCATTTGCTGGTTGAGAGCCTCTGGCTCCTGAACCTACGTTTGCGTAATAAGGAATTGTCGTTTGTCAAGCTAACTACGCAACATGTACCGCATGGTAAATGGGTACCTGGGCTCATGGTTTAAGTTGCGTTTTGGATTTTAGATCCGACCCAATCTCAACAACCGGTATGGATGAAAATTGAGTTAATTACACTCCATTTAAGAGTTACCAATATTACAC